AGTGCTGGGATTAAAGGCGTGCGCCACCACCGCCTGGCATTGGTTTGGTATTTTTGAGACAGGGTTTCTCTGTGTAGTTTTGGTGCCGTACTGGATCTCGCTCTGTATACCAGGCTGGCCTCAAACTCACAGAGATCTGCCCACTCTGCCTCTCCAGTGCTGGAAGTAAAGGCATGCACAAACACTGCCCAGCTTACACCTAAATTCTTTGCCATCTGTTTTTGGATTAGTGGGATAGCTGTGAATTTTTTCAGAATTATAATATTTTTGAACAATTTTACGTAATTGTTGTTTTTCCTAAACTATAACATCCACCATTTCGTGTGTACAGCTTAGTGTTAAGAACTTCACAAGGTTATGCCCTTCACTGCCTGACTCTAGAACATTTCAGTCACCTTGAAACCTTGTTCCCATTCTTCTTTCCCTTATTCTGGGCAGCTACCCCTCTGCTTTATATGTTTGCATATTGTAAATATCTCGTGTAAGTGGGGCCACACATTTGTGGCCTTTTGTGTTTGACTTCTCCCTCTTACAGTGTTCAAGGCTCAACCATCCTTTGGTGTGAACCAGTACTTCATTTCATTTTATGGGGGTGCTCTTACACTGTGTGGATGGACTACATTTTTTTTTCATCATTTGATGAACATTTGAGTTATTTTTACTATTTACTTGTGATGAATAAAGCTATAGATACTTGTAAACTAAGTTCTATTGGGAATATATCTCTGAGTAGAATCGCTGGGTCACACTATAGTTCTGTGTTCTACTGTTTTGGAAAGTGGTTGGCTACTTCTCAAAGCAGCTGCATCTTTTTATCTACATGACATCATCATATTGATAGTTGGTGCTTATTATTTAAACTATTTTTAGATTTATTTATTTTATTATTTTATGCACATGAGTGTTTTTCCTGCATATGTGTTTATGCACCACACATATGCCTGTTGCTCATGAAGATCAGAAGAGAGCTTTGAATTCCCTGTGACTGGAGCTAAAGACAGTCATGAGCTAATGTGAGTTCTATGAGTCAAACCTGGTTCGTGTAAAAGAGCAACATGTGCTCTTAAATGCTGAACCAGCTTTCTAGCCCCAGTGTGTCTTCTTGTCTGTGTCTTCTAGTTATAGGCATCCCAGTGGAAAATGTTATCTTGTTCATCTGCTGATTCAAAAAAAACAATTGGTGGAGGGAGCTTGGAGATATGGTTCAGTGGGTAGAGTGCTTGTTAGAGAATTGTTGGGGATGGGGTCTGACTGTGAAGCTGCGGGGTGGGGGGCTCAATGTTCCTCAAGGGACCAGGCCTGGCCACCACAGTAGTCTGGGTGTGGAGCCCAGTGGTCAGAGGTCTCCAGGGGCAGGCCCTACAAGGGGAGTCTCTGTGCAGCAGAGAAAGCCACCCCTGCTGCAGAGTGAGAAACCAACAATAGGAACCTGGGTCTGAGACAGCCATCAATTACCCACTGTTCAATTAATGGAGAAGGAGAAGTGGGAGTGTTGGGAGTTGAGCAGGAGAGCCTGTGAGGGTGATGGTCATCCTGGAGAAGGCTCATGGGAAGAACAGGTAGGACATGAGGAAGACAGGGTGGTGCAGATGACAGGGATCAACAACCACCTAAAGACCTGGCCCTGGTTTTCCTTCCTGTGGGAAAAGGTTGGTGCTGGGCATGGAGGCCACAAGCTCCTGAGTGTGTCTGTGGATTGTGCCAGCCACACAGTGGGCCTGCAGTAACACACCCCACCCCTAAGGATGGGAGAGGTGTCTAAATGAACTCAATTGCTTCTTAAATCACCCTTATTCATAAGTTAACTGTGGCCCCTGTGATGGTGGCCAGGGCTGGACGGGGTGCTTCTCCCTGGTTTACTTCACTTCAGGTGCTCCTTGCCATCAACAGTCTTGCCATTGATGGTCACCGATAGGAGCTCTGTGTCCATATGCTCTCCTGGCCAGTCTCCACAATGTGTTTTTGGGACCTTGTGGCTGAATGAAAAAGATCCATAAAAAACGAAGCACGTGACCATTCCTACATATGGTGGAGGAGAGAATTTATTGTAGCTAAAAGGGAGAGCATAGCCAGAGGCAGGGACATCTGAGAGGGTCCAGGGTGGACATGACTCTGATCCTGGCCGTGTGAGGAGGGAGAGGTGGGGAGAGAGGAAGAACAGGGAACCAGATACAGAGCCAGAAGGCCTAAAATAAGAGTAAGCAAAATGGCTGGACTATATAGGGAAGGTCATCTGGGGGAATGTCAGCCCAGTCCCTGGGCTGGACAAGTTTAGGTTGGGCAGGAGCGTATGACAACCATAGGGAGAATCTGGTGGCAGCATCTGCTTTGATATGTCAGATGGACACCTCAGCCATTTGTCCGGGGTTTGAGACCGAACGAACATTCACTATTTTCATTGTTTGTAGGTCTAGTTGAAGACAGATTCAACACACAAGAGGAAATAGAAAAGAAGATGATACAGCTTGCCCCCATCATACCTCAGGATATCAGAGAATAGGAAAGCCTTCAAGAATGTCTGAAAATTAGCCGGGCGTTGGTGGCGCACGCCTTTAATCCCAGCACTCGGGAGGCAGAGGCAGGCGGATCTTTGTGAGTTCGAGGCCAGCCTGGACCCTGTCTCGAAAACCAAAAAAAAAAAAAAGAATGTCTGAAAATTACTCAAGCCCATGAGAGAAGGCCCTAGTTTGGGGTATCTGGACTGAGCTAGCTGGCTATTTTGGTTCTAGGGGGTTGCAACACTTTAGTCTCAGCAGAACATCTGGAGTTGTTTGTTCCTTCCTGATTAGCCTTTCCCTTTGGGGGGTAGTTGTTCATGGTTCTCTGTAACTAGGGTTAAGGTCAGGGGCAGAGGAGGT